CCTTAGCCCTTTCTTTACTCCTGGCAGCATAAACATGAGCTTCTGGAAAGAAAGTATTGAAAACCTGTTGTTACGACACTTTGGGGAGTACAATGATATGTTAAAATTGCTCATTCAGTAATATTCAAGTCACACAATAGTAGATGCATTTAGCAGCATGCTTTTCATTGTAGAGGAAACAGTACATTTAAAACCTAATTGTAAATCCAAGTCTTATGTTGTTGACCCAATAAATCCTCATAATCATAAAATTCTAATTAGTACTTATAATCTTGCTCCCTTATTCTTGTACAGACTCTGGAAATATGTATTGTCCTCCCACATACCATTCTTGTGTAGTGCTATAATATATAAATAGACACAGTATAAGTTGTACAAAAATGTTCCCTTGACTGAGCTACTGAACATGTCTATCAATCATTTCACAACTTTCCCTTATAATATCAATTCTGACAAGGAGCTGCACTTTAAAAGTTTATCCCAACTTTTTCACATACAGGATAAATTAAATTTTGAAGTATTGGGTTTATCAGTTCATCAAACATACCGGTTTTTCTTCAGTTTAGAGTGTGAGCAATATATTTAAACTACCTTTAGGTGCCATTATCTGAAAATGTCTATATCAGTCATGTAAATTGAGAACACGTTTATGATATAGTTATAAATCAGACCCCACCAAAAATAGTGCAGGTGTTATGCTGTATGAGAAATCCCTTCAAACTCTGCTTCAGTCTTTTTTTCAAGCATTTCCTCACTTTGTTTTTTCCAGTATCAAGCATGCTGTGCCAGGCCTACAGTTGACTCCTTAACCTGTATCCCTTAACCTTATATTTTCCTCTGTACAATCCCACTCTAACTCTGCCTGTCCTTCATGATTTTCCTCCCTCTAATTCTTTCTCTATATTTAATTTTTCGTTATCAGTGCAGCTTTCCCTTAGTAAAAAGCTGACTTCTTTCACCTTATTAATAATCTTTGCTGTTCATTTTTGTTTGACAATGTTCATAACTGTTAACTGTATATTTCATGATCATGACTTTGGCTTGCAAGATCTCCATTCTCATGCTAAAAGGTGCACTGTATCTTAAAATATTTATTGATCAGGAATTGTACTTATGTGCTAAAAAAAATGCTTAACTCACGTTCATACATTGTTGAAGGTTTAATATGTATTTAGCTATTATACCAATGGTGAAGCCATTTTGCAATCAAGTCAAAAATTGGGAGTATATAGTGAGCTTTCTTTATCCTTTATGATTTGGAAGGGCAAGAATGAAAAACTAAAATATCTGAATTCCGTTTACCTATTTGAAACCCAGTCTCTAATATCAAATTGCATTTGGCTGCATCAAAGGTTGAAAATTATTTTCTTAAGGGGAAGAAGAAGAAGCTCCATTTTACGATCTTTACTAAAATCTTAGCAGTCTATGTAATTAATAAATTAGAACAATGTTAATATATTATAGTTTATTTAGACCTCTCTCCTTCTACTTCTCCTTTTTGCATAGAAATAAATACATTAAAAAAGCATCCTCTTCCTAAACTTCATACAAAGTTAGTTTAGAATAACTTTTACTGCTTTGGCTAACTTTTTCATACATATCTTTAAGGTTTTTTAATGCCTGCAGGCTATTTAGGAAATATGGGCCATGGGAATTAAATGTGTTAAAAGACAAATTTTTCTACTGCTTTATTTTCTCCCAATTATTATAACTATTTCTATTGATCATCTAATTCTGTTGTTTCATAGGTAAGGCTAGAAAGAGTTAGAAATTATTATTATACTGCTGTTCTCTTTTTGAAGAAAATTAAAAATATTTCTTAAGATATGGGCATAATTATATTGCTAATCTATTACAGATGTATTAAATTATGATAATTAATATATATTTTTTGATAAAAGTTCTGTAAGGTAAGTGCAACTCAATTAATTTTTCTTTCAATCATTATTTTTTTTTTCAAATATTAAAGGTCATACAGTTACAATCTAGATTAAAAAAAATTGTAAACCAGAAGGTGCATCTAGTTTATCATACAGTTAACACATAACAACAGGTTTTATATTGTTTTTCTTCAAGGTTTAAATCTTAATATAGCTTTCAGTTTAAATCAGCTAAATAAATTCAAGGTGTATCAAAACAAAAGGTTCAGTTTGTACTTTATTTATTTTTTATTTAGAAAGCAGCCATGATCTGGGTAGAAATGCCTATCCTATATTGCGTGCTGTAGAGAGAGGACCATTGCTCTTTCAGTTGAAGCAGTGGTCTCTCTGCAGAGGTACAAAACACAGGGGATGATTTACTAAAACTGGAGAGTGCAAAATCTGGCACAGCTGGCAAAACCGGAAGCTGATCTGATTGGTTTCTTTGCAGAGCTGTACCAGATTTTGCACACTTGCGTTTTAGTAAATGAAACCCACAAAGTTATGTTAGACTGATAGCTATACAATCAGCAAAGTTCACAATCCTTGTTGATTGGAAATCTCTGACTTAGCAGGGAATGTGTTGGACCTCTGCAGAGAGACTACTCCACACAAGGTGCAAGGATCCTTCTTTATAGTATGCTGGCAGGGGACAGCCTTTCTACTCAGGCTTTGGCTGTTTTCTAAAGAACTGGGCTTTGCACACCTTTTGTTTTGATGCACCTAGAATGTATTTAGCTGATTTAAACTAAAAAGTTCAGTTTAAATATATGTAAAATATATTCATATATTTATAATAAGTATAATTATATATTTATATTTATATATATTTATAATTACCATATAAAACTAAGTCCCTAATGTCTACATAGTTATCAGGATGTGATTTATTAGTGTAGAATAGTTTATGGTAGGATATAAATTGTAAGAGCATATAGTTCTTTTTTTTGTATCACATAATACCCTTTTAACACATTCACTTGCAGTAGGTTTATTGCAAAAAATGCAGCAACCAATGTCAAGCATGCATACAGTATAATAGTTTAAACTATTTTCACATTTGATTCCGTAAGCTTTTTGTAAGTCAGCTCAAAATCTTCACTTGCCTAAAGATTAACTTAGTGTATTCCAGTTATAAAGGAAGATTGATCTGCCCGTTTAAATTCTGTGCTCGGAAATCACATCACTGCTGGGTTATTTTACCTTGATTAATGCTTGACCTTTTTGTACAGTCTAACGAAATTACGCTACACACTGAAATTATTTTAAGGAAATGGGGGCAGGGAGGGCAAATTATCATTGTTCTTCTGTGCACTGTCTGTAGAAGACAAAGAAAAGGAAAGCCGTATAACTGATAAATCTTCTGCATATAAAGTTTAGCATAACATTTATTTTATCTTTTATCTTACCTAGAGATACAACATTTTATGAATTTGTAGTGACCTAATTCACAAATTTATTTTTTTATTTCAATAACATGCTGTTCCAAAAAACTAAACGTTTTAGTAATGTCCCCACAGTCTTCCAGACAGGTGCACAACCTTGGTAAAAGTAAGCCACACTCCCCAGTATAGAAATAGTGCCATACATACTAAGTACATTTTGTACTTGTTATTGTCACTTCTAAATGAATGGCTAGTGGTTACATTACTTGTTCTATACTTGATACAATCTTGACAAATGGCCACATGTAAGTGTGTGCAGCATAAGCAGCCTCTGCTGTCAGTATACATATATTGACTTAAGTATTTGACTAAAATAAAAAAGGCTGAGCCTATGCATGTTTCCCACATCTTGCAATGCCATTATAGAGAATCTCAATAGATAGCTGAAACATCAGAATTGCACTGAATGCAGGAAAGCACATTCTTAGGTTGTAAATTGGCTTTTGCACACTGACTAAAGATATGGAATAAAAAAAAAAAACTTAGGGCACCTGGACTAAATTACTAAATTATGGACTAACTGGCACCTTATGATATTTGCAATTCTGTTTTTGATATGACACATTTTTGTGTAACAAAACTACTGAGAAAACATCAACATTTTAAACCTGTTGTTACTGATTTACACAGGATAAAGTATCCGTTTAGTATGTGTCTTACTAAAGGAAAAATGGGTATAACAACCCATTATATCTATGTTCATCTCCAACTCATAGTCAATGGTAATGAAATAAAAGTATAATAAGTATATATATATATTTTGTTAATGTGAGTATTAATTTAAACAAACCATAGGTTGGTACACTCCTTTTTAACTTACCCTCTGAATCGTATTATTTTCAATATTGTTTTTAAGATACAGTGCACCTAATAACTGAAGGATGATATATATAAATATATATGTTACTATAAATGTTGATTTTATTGTTTTTCTTTCTCTTTTTTGCAAGCCAAATTCAAATGTATATATGTTTGTTTATCTGAAGGTGTATGGTGAAGGCAACAAACCTATTATATAATGATAAGGAACATACCAAATCCATAGTGACAATTCTTTGCTAAGTGATTTCAAAATAACAATGTAAGATAGAAATATTAGATTTTTCAGTGAATTAAAGAAAATGTACTTTTAACATTTATTTCACTAGCTACTTTGTCATCTTATAATTAAAATGTTAACATAAGCAAACATCTACACCATATTTATTGTACACTTAAACAATTTTGTTTATAATATTTTAATTATGAAATGTTCCATATGAATATTTAAGCAGATTGTCTATAAAAATGTAGAAGTTGCCTTCACATAATCTGTGTCAAAATGTCATGTCATAAGCACCACTGTCAGGGGTAACAAATAATTACTATACCTATTTAAATGTAGGTATATGTATTCTGCATTTATGTAGTTACACATCTCAGCCTTTTTGGTTTCTTAACTCTTAAGGCTTCATTCATATTTATAGAGAATTGTATTTATGAAATACAAATATTTAACTAATATTTAGATTATTTCATAATTTTTACTTATTTCAATTAATGATTTCATGGGTAAAATATAGAAACATTATTTAAGGACTTTTGTTATTTTTGAACTTAGCTTTTGAGTAGTCCTTTCTTATTTTTACCTTTCTAGAAGCTGAAGAATTGTACCAGAAACGAGTGTTGACCATTACCGGCATCTGCATTGCCCTGCTTGTAGTTGGCATCATGTGTGTTGTGGCCTACTGCAAAACAAAGTAAACCTTCATCTAATATTATTTGTTTCCAAATTGATAAGATTTAACGTGTTTATTCAAATGTTCAACAATCATCTTGTTTGTATATATATATATATATACAGTGGGGATCGAAAGTTTGGGCATCCCAGCTAAAAATTTGTATTAATGTGCATAAAGAAGCCAAGGAAAGATGGAAAAATCTCCAAAAGGCATCAAATTACAGATTAGACATTCTTATAATATGTCAACAAAAGTTAGATTTTATTTCCATCATTTACACTTTCAAAATAGCAGAAAACAAAAAAATGGCGTCTGCAAACGTTTGGGCACCCTGCAGAATTTATAGCATGCACTGCCCCCTTTGCAAAGCTGAGACCTGCCAGTGTCATGGATTGTTCTCAATCATCATCTGGGAAGACCAGGTTATGTCAATCTCAAAGGTTTTAAATGCCCAGACTCATCTGACCTTGCCCCAACGGTCAGCACCATGGCATCTTCTAAGCAGTTGTCTAGAAAACTGAAACTGAAAAGAGTTGACGCTCACAAAGCTGGAGAAGGCTATAAGAAGATAGCAAAGCGTTTTCAGGTGTCAATATCCTCTGTTCGGAATTTAATTAAGAAATGGCAGTCATCAGGAACAGTGGAAGTTAAAGCAAGATCTGGAAGACCAAGAAAAATATCAGACAGAACAGCTCGCAGGATTGTGAGAAAAACAATTCAAAACCCACATTTGACTGCACGATCCCTCCAGAAAGATCTGGCAGACACTATTCCACTATAAAGAGATACTTGTACAAATATGGTCTTCATGAAAGAGTCATCAGAAGAAAACCTCTTCTACGTCCTCACCACAAAAATCATCGTTTGAACTTTGCAAATGAACATATAGACAAGCCTGATGCATTTTGGAAACAAGTTCTGTGGACTGATGAGGTTAAAATTGAACTTTTTGGCCTGAATGAGCAAAGGTACGTTTGGAAAAGAAGGGGCACAGAATTTAATGAAAAGAACCTCTGTCCAACTGTTAAGCATGGGGTTGGATCAATCATGCTTTGGGGTTGTGTTGCAGCCAGTGGCACAGGGAACATCTCACGAGTAGAAGGAAAAATGGATTCAATAAAATTTTGCATGGTAACTTGATGCCATCTGTGAAAAAGCTGAAGTTAAAGAGAGGATGGCTTCTACAAATGGATAATGATCCTAAACACACCTCGAAATCCACGGGGGATTACATCAAGAGGCGTAAACTGAAGGTTTTGCCATGGCCTTCACAATCTCCTGACCTCAACATAATTGAAAATTTATGGATAGACCTTAAAAGAGCAGTGCGTGACAGACAGCCCAGAAATCTCAAAGAACTGGAAGACTTTTGTAAGGAAGAATGGGCAAAGATACCTCAAACAAGAATTGAAAGACTCTTGGCTGGCTACAAAAAGCGTTTACAAGCTGTGATACTTGCCAAAGGGGGCAGTACAAGATATTAACTCTGCAGGCTGCCCAAACTTTTGCAGATGCCATTTTTTTGTTTTCTGTTATTTTGAAAGTGTAAATGATGGAAATAAAATCTAACTTTTGTTGACATATTATAAGAATGTCTAATCTGTAATTTGATGCCTTTTGGAGATTTATCCATCTTTCCTTGGCTTCTTTATGCACATTAATACAAATTTTTAGCTGGGGTGCCCAAACTTTCGATCCCCACTGTATATATATATATATATATATATATATATATACATATATATGCACTTGATTTACTAAAAGACATGTGGACTTTCACTTTGCAAAGTAAATGTTCTTAGCTTTGTGAATAGAGTAAAGATGCATTAATTTCAGTCTTTCAATTGTGTACAAGCAATTTTTTTTTTTTTTTTTATGCACGTGATTGAGTAACCAAAGTAAAAGCAACTTCACTTTATTACCAAAGTTAGGCAAAGTGAACATTCTTTAAGGCAGGCCAGAGATTATGTAGTTTCCTTTTCTTCCACCACAGGTGGAAGCCTTCCCTGCCAGTAGAACACAATGATTAGTGTTGGCTATAGTCAGCAGCACTAATTATTTAGGAAAAAAACATGGTTGTACACAAGTTGATCAATAGATTGACTTGTGTAAAACCAACGTGCCCTTACATGGATTGAAATCTTTCCAGTCTGCTGAACCAGCTGAATTTTTATACATGTATGGCCGGTTTTAACCTTGAGTAAAACAATTCTATTGTGTTTTTTTAATTCCTGACAGCACTAAACAAACTCTTTTAATATCTAATGCTATGCTTTTTACATCTGACAATTGCTTACAATCTCATCCTTCTGCTGTAAAATGTTATCAAAATTAGGGCATCTATAGTTACCTATATTTACTAAAAATATTTAAATATAGCAATATCAGGTTAACTAGGATTTCATGCGAGTATTGCTCGGTACACTCATGAGATTTTAGTTAAGTTGATAAAGAATAATTTTTAGATCTATCTAACTTTTGGGCCATATGTCCCTGCACATATACACCCTTAATGTCTATCTTCCCCATATTTCAACCTGTCATAGACTTTGACAGGCTGTTGGTAGCAGGGCTGGACACTGTATCTGTGCCTTTTTTGGGCATTCAGAAAAGCCAGTTTTGTGGTACAGGGGCGAAATCATCTGCGAGCATGTAGCCTAAGGCTGATATTATCCCATTATAGCTTAAAATGGCATACATTCTGATAAATCTTACTGCATATTAGATAATTTGTTTACTTTTATATGATCGTGTTCAATTTCTAAACTGCTTTCTAATGGAACTTTTTTCTTTCCTTAAAAGAACTCTTAGAAATATTATGAACAAACACTTGCCATCCATTAACTCTTCACAGCCTGCTATAAATTATATTTATTTAGCAAATAAAGCATTGTTTGCTTAGAGTGGCCTTTCTTACTGTCCAGTATTTCTAAAATACTAAGTTATTAATCTTAAACTCACTTTTAGGAAACAGAGAAAAAAGTTACATGATCGTCTTAGACAAAGCCTTCGCTCAGAACGGAACAATATGGTGAACATGGCAAATGGTCCACATCATCCAAATCCACCACCAGAAAATGTCCAGCTGGTAAATGTAGGTTTATGTAAAGCAACTGTAATATTTATCATTGTGACACGTAAACTGGAACTCTGGGCTGGACTAGGAATAAACCAAAAGCAAAACATGGCTGTGTTATTGTTAAAAATGAATGCTCATATGTAAGCAAGAGATTCTAAGCTTCTGAAGTGATTACTGAGAGTAATAGAAAATGCTAGATTTGAAAGTGAAAAGATTACCACCTGAAATCTGTCAGAAACCAAGTCATGCATCTTGGAATATCTGCCAAGAAGTCAGCATTTGGGCTGATATCACTGAATTAATTTCTGTTAGTGACTGATAATTCTCCTAAAATAAATTGAAACAATCACTATACACTTTAAAATGCTTAAAGTGATTAAATGTTGGGCTTTTTACTGTCCAACTGGGCAAACAGAGCCTTTGTGAAAATTAATATATATTATTGACAACTTGAGACTTGGTCAGTTTCCTAAGCTACTTATAGGCTGTCGTGTAGAGCCTTTAACCTGTTACTTGGCATTTTTCTTTTATCTAAGAATATTTTTTGTATTATTTTCTTTCTTTATGTTTAGGGTTAAAAACTATGTACTGTATTTTTATTCAGGAAATATGATATAGTGCATATACTGTATAAAATGTTATTAAGCAGCTTATATAAAACAGAGTGCTGTGTCACCCCTGCATACCACAAGAGATACACTGCTCCTCTTGCCTTTTATATATTTTTTTTAGTATGTACAATTGTTGTAGGTAAAATTGCCAATAGTATTGTAGTTAGAAAATTATTTTTCTTTGTATACTTTGTATTTGATAAACAACGTATTTAAAAAAAAACATGTTATATGTAAATTATAAAGTACAACTAAGTAATGCACTTTTTGTCTATTTGTTTCATACAGCAATATGTTTCCAAAAATGTTATATCCAGTGAACATGTGATAGAGCGGGAAACAGAAACATCGTTTTCTACAAGTCATTATACGTCAACAACACACCATTCAACAACAGTTACGCAAACACCAAGCCACAGGTTTGTGTGCTTTCTGTTCAACATTCATAAATACATTATTAAACCATCATAAAAACCTGTATAGAAAAGAACACCCCCATGAGGGACATTCATGCAGCAACCATAGTACATATACATATAGAGACTTTAAAAAAATATATGCTTTATTCCACAGAAATTCTTATAAAAAATACACATTTATTTAAAGGACATTAGCTCTGACAATGCTTAAATTCATTTTCTTCACAACATGGAGAAAGCTCCCAAAGAAGGGGAACTAATCCACTTATAATTTGAAATGGACCCAGACAATCGTTCAAAATACTTCCTCCTAGATATGAGGAACTCTTAAGAAAGGGGAGACAATCCCGATGCGTTTGGATCACTCCATTTTTGATCTTCTTCAGGGGGATGAACACAGAAGGAATTTCTAATAAACATACAAAAATAAATAGTAATATACACATAATGGTGACTGAGTAATAGTAAACCAATTACAATAAATGTACTTGCAAAAAAGACTATATAAGCATTGATCAGAGCGATTCTGAGTAATATCCAGGATGGGATTGCATATTCCAAGGCCTCAACGGTGTGGACCCACCAAAAGAGTAAGAATGATCAAATATATATCCTATGGCTGACAGCAAAACAGGAACACTGCACCACCCTTAGTTTTCCTCTATATACACCATAATATAGGAATACTAAGGGTGGTCCAGTGTTCCTGAATTGCTGTCAGCAATAGGATATATATTTGACCACTCTTACTCTTTTGGTGTGTCCACACCGTTGAGGCCTTGGAATATGCAATCCCATTCTGGATATTACTCAGAATCGCTCTGATCAATGCTTATATAATCTTTTTTGTAAGTACAATTATGGTAATTGGTTTAATGTTACTCACTTACCATTATGTGTGTATTATTATTTATTTTTGTATGTTTATTAGAAATTCCTTCTGTGTTCATACCCCTGAAGAAGATCAAAAATGGAGTGATCGAAACGTGTCAATGTAGTCTCCCCTTTCTTGGGAGTTCTTCATGTCTAGGAGGAAGTATTTTGTATTATTGTCTGAGTCCATTTCAACTTATATGTGGAGTGGTTCCCCTTCTTTGGGAGCTCTCTCCATGTTGTGAAGAAAGTGAATTTCAGCATTGTGAGAGCTAATGTCCTTTAAATAAATGTGTATTTTTTTATAAGAATGTCTATGGAATAAAGCATATATTTTTGAAAAGAAGTCTCTATATGTATATGTACTATGGTTGCTACATGAAAGTCCCTCATGGAGGTGTTCTTTTGTATATTCTATTTGAGATGAGCAGCTGAATACTCGACCTTTTGGTTATGATCATATAAACCTGAGACTTCCATTTGTGGAAAGCAAGTTCAAGAGAATAACACCACATCAAGAACACTTATTTATATAGTGTGTAGCTTTTGCACTCAGAAGTGTTTACTAGTTTATGCAGTCGCTTTACTAATTTACTTTTGGATTAGAAACTGTTCTCTTTATTCTCTTAAACAAAATAAATGCTCATTAAAATTAGCAAGGTGAAGTTAGTTTACAAAAAAAATCTGCTTTTTATTTCCCTTGCACATGATTTTGAAGTCATCTTCACATAATTTTGAAAGTAAACAGTCTCTACTCTTTGGGTAAATCAAACCCTATGGATCAAAGGTACATAAAGCGTAGCATATGGCGATAATGAAAACTTGTATAAATCATTAGCCACCACTTAAAAGGGCTTCAGTGATTTAACAGCACTTATTCCTATCACTTTTTTTTCTCTATTTCCCTAAAGTTTATTAAACTGCATTTTTACAAATCTGCTACAAAGTAAGATATAACATGTTTTGTGGTTAATGGGTCATTTACATTTTCTTGGTGTGTTGATGCACACATGTTATGTTGCACAGTAACTTGCTTGTTAAGGCAACCCATTCATTTGAGTGCACTGGTTAATGCAGCAAAATTAACTGAAACACTTTTAGCAATGCAGTGCACCACAACACACAGTAGTGCATTACTTTGAGTTGTGGTGCTTCCAATGCAGGTGCACTGGGGTGGCATTAAAAAAAATGGCACCTCAGCACACCAGCATGCATAGCACGTTACCACAATGCAATAGGGTAAATTGGGCTAGAAGCGAAATCTCTGTGTTCATGAAGTAACCAACTTTCTAAAATTACTTTACTGTAAATACAGTGTGCATATTAAAATACTTTTCTAAAATGTGTGTCTATTTTATTCATAGCTGGAGTAATGGCCAGTCAGAAAGCATTATTTCAGAAAGTCACTCGGTGATTGTGACATCTTCTGTAGAAAATAGTAGACATACAAGTCCTACAGGACCAAGGGGGCGATTGAATGGTATTGGAGGCCATAGAGATTGCAGCTATCTTAGACATGCTAGAGACACACCAGATTCATATAGAGATTCACCACACAGTGAAAGGTAAGTAAAATTGCTTTGGTGCTATGAGGTTTCCTTACAGGAATAAAAACTTGCCACAAGCAGCAGAACACAAAACTGTTATGCTAGTTTTACTGTTTTATATGTATGTACTAATTTAAAAGAAAGATGCAAGCCTCAGCCTACAATCCAGCTCAAATTATACTCATCTCTTCATGTTTCTGGCCTTTGCTAGTTTCCAGCACTGTAGCCTTCACTAGACTCTTTATTATTCAACACTGTTCATGACATATGGGATTGAGTATTCAAATTGAACACAATGTTCACCATATTTACTAACCATAGTAAAAGTTAAACTTAAAAAATTACCATTCCTTTTGCAAAGTGACCATTTACTCTACTAAGTAAACAATAGTTGCTACTCTTTAGTAAATCAGCCCCATTGAGTCAGTGATAGTTCTGAATTGTACAGGACATTTTCATCCTATTAACATGAAGGCAGTTAGATTACCCTTTCACATCCAAATTTTATCATAAGGTCCTGGAATCAAGATAAAGTTATTATAGCTACAACTAAATAATATCTTCCTGCTGGGTGTTAGTAGGTCACCCATCATTTAGCCCTATGCCTAGAAGTAGCTTCATTACTAGTGTTGACTATGCCTATTTAGTGAAAACAAGACAACATGTATGTGTTAATAATGACCTAATGTCCTAGATTAAGAAATAAAGTATTCAACATGACATGCAACTTTATTAAATAATAATTATGTATTTCACTTAAATGTAGATTTAAATTCATGATACAACAACTTATTTAATTAACTTTATACCTTAGATATGTTTCAGCAATGACCACTCCAGCTCGCATGTCACCAGTGGACTTCCAGACTCCAATATCCCCGAAATCACCTTCATTGGAGATGTCTCCACCAATATCTAGTTTAGCTGTATCAGTTCCCTCTGTGGCTGTCAGTCCATTTATTGAAGAAGAAAGACCATTGCTTTTGGTGTCACCTCCAAGGTTACGGGACAAGAGATATGACTTATATTACCACCATCACCATTATAACCAGCAGTACAATTCCTACCATCACAACCCTGCCCATGACAGCAGCAGTCTGCCACCAAGTCCTTTAAGAATAGTGGAGGATGAGGAATATGAAACCACACAAGAGTATGAGCCGGCCATGGAGCCTGTAAAGAAACTAGTCAACAGCCGGAGGGCAAAAAGAACAAAACCCAATGGCCACATTTCCAATAGATTAGAACTGGACACTGACACAAGCTCTGAGAGCAGTACATCTGAGAGTGAAACAGAAGATGAAAGAATAGGCGAGGATACACCTTTTCTGAGTATACAAAATCCCCTGGCGACCAGCATAGAGTCAGCCAGTGCATACCGACTTGCAGAAAGTAGGACTAACCCAACTAGCCGATTCTCAACGCAAGAAGAGTTACAAGCAAGGCTGTCCAGTGTAATAGCTAACCAAGACCCTATTGCTGTATAAAACAAATAAAACATAGATTCACCTGTAAAACTTTATTTTATATATGAAGTATTCCACCTTAAATTAAACAATTTATTTTATTTTAACAGTTCCGCAAGTAGAAAACAGGAAACATTTTATAAATTAAGTATATGTAAAAATGTGTTATGTGCCATATGTAGCAATTTTTTACAGTATTTCAAAATAAGAAAGACATCAATGGTGCCTTTATGTTATGTTATGTTGACAACAGTTTTTGTATGTCCCAGTGATTGCTGTCCCACAGTATTTTTGCAGACTGCTTTATCCTTCATTTTTTTCTTGGCTTTTTGTGCATTGCATTAATGGTGTCGACTGAATGTATGATTTGCAAGAGTTACAGCAATCAACTGTTTGTTTGTGGTACTGTAAATTCCTGACTAACTGTCCCTGTAATGCAGTACTCATAAAAAAAACTGTTTACTTTTGTAAGAGGAATTCTATTGCTATTCGTATACAAACCAATTTATGTCCGCTGTTTGCCACCTAAAGCTTTGCTTTACAAGGCACTGATCTAATAGTAGATTGAACAGCATGCTACTATTAATCAAAGCAGGATACAGAGACTGCAAATACAAAATGTTCAACACTTATTGGAAATGCAAATGCTACTGTAACATACCTAATTAATAATTAGGAAAGTAACATCTGTGGAAAACTACCATTATAAACTCAACTGGTATAGTTATATTGCTGGGTCCTTAATAATCACAAGTCAACACCCTTCCCCACCATGTAAAACTTTCCAGAACTGGCAAGCTTAGAATAAACTTTGTAAACTAACCTTGCAGAGTGACAGAAGGCCTTAGTATACCACAGGCCTCTTAAACTATGGCTCTAGCATGGCCTATGGGACCTGAAAACTCTGAGGGCATGCAGTATGAAGTGCATATTTTCATTAACAGGGCGCAGAGGTGCCTGTATTGCATTATGGAAAGCTTTGAGGGTATTACTTAACCTCAACGTATATGAAAGTCAATATTTGACCTCCATTTTCCTGGCTTTGGGGTGTTAAAGTGGCCCTACCACCACAGGGTCACTTCTAAACTGAAGACGGCTCATAAAAAAGATTGAATATGTGTACTTTTTTGACTGCAAATGTGTTTAAAGGTCACCGCTTCACTGCTCCCAAGCCACTGCAAGTATTCAGTTCCTTGGGTGGGTCAAATACCTGCTACCCCTGCCACACACAGTAGTTTCTCTTGACAGCTTGTATGTCCTGTAGTGGTGCATGATCCAGTGGGAGGAACCACAGCATGAATTGAGGGGAGCAGGTATTCTACATAGCTGGAACTGTGAAATACATGTGGGAACAAGGGAACAGCAAAGTCACAGCCTTACAACACACAAGCCATCAGAAGGGTATGTATATTTGCTCTTTTTTTTAGGCTACCACCTATTTAGAAGTGATGCTGAGAGAGCAGGGTCACTTTAGGACGCTGAAAGTACACAACATGTAATGGTACCTGCTGTCACAACGTAAGGTTAAATAACAAAGTTTATATTAATGACAGAAATCTCACAAGAAAATATATTCAAAAAGAAAGTTTAAGAAGGAAATAAAAAAAATAATAAAGGTGCAATCATTTTTGACCATTTTTGATTGTTTTAAAATTGTAATGTTATTTTTTTATTGTGTATTATACAGGGTTTACATAAGACACATGAACACTATAGATTATTTATGAGCTAACAAGTTTTTTACTTAGAATAGTCAATACCCTTTTGATGAAGGGGATTATTTAGATGTTTTATTTTTTATTTTTTGTTTTAGGACGAATATGAAAGGTGAAGTAATTTCATTTCCAGTTAGAGAGATAAGTGGGCATCCTAGTTTGATATAAAGAAAATGTATTTATTTGAAAAGCACGTTTGCATTTTACAGGCTGATAAACTGCATGAGCACCTGGTAGGAATGTGCATGACACAGTGATTAAATAAGACTCAGTGACTGTTAGTAGTTTAAGTAGTTTTGGATCCATGTTGGAAATATTGCACCTTTTACAATCAGAACGGTCCTTTTTTTCTTCCCGTCCAGTTTTCCTATGTTATGGGTTGAGCATGATTCTACCTTTAAACTACCTAATTTTTGGGACAGCTTAAAACATGGTCTTCCATATGCAATGTAAAACAATGTATTACAAATACTGGAAAGAACTCAATGTGTGTCCATTTGTTTTGTATATAGTTACCTTTTGTTTCTGTTATACAGCAAAAAGGATTCATGAGATAGATTTCATAGTTACCATTTTCACTGTGATTTCTTGAGGAATGATGCTGTTCAGTTTACAACTTTTAATGCCTTCTAAACACTAGAGATTTCCTTTCTGGTCTCAATTACAGAAGCCATTTCAAAACAACCATTTCCCCCCTCTAAAAAATGTAAGAAAATGGCTTCCTAATTGAAAAAAAAAAAAAACACAGTTAACACTCTCTGGTTCTAAAATTGTTGCAAACATTACCAGAACAAACTTGATGTAAGGGTGTGAATAAAAAGTTTTGAATGCCTGAGCTTTTGAAAGAACAATTGCGTTTTCTGTTAATAACTTTTGTCAGTCTGTTGCTTTGCTTCTAAATCCGCTAAAAAACAAAAGCTTTTTTATTTTTACACTTTTCTTTTTATAGTTTGTGTTTTTTTATGCCACGAAAGAGAATATGTTACACTTGCATTTGTGGGACTCTCTGCAAAACTGACATGGATTAAAATATTTTGCTTGTTGAATAACCTGCACCTCTAGTTTTCAAAGCGTATCCCATGCATAGTAGTAACTCCTGCCTCTGCCTTTAGGCCATATTGGCTAATAGTAAAACTGTACTTTATTAACAAACACTGCTGAGTTATAGTATCAACACAACTGGCACATATCACAAGGTCCAATATATATGTTTTATGTTTTTTTTTTTGTGTAAATACATATTCATAGATATTTTACTTATCCAGTTACTGTTCATTATATGTTTTGTGTCACTAGCCCTTTACTGGTTATATGTGTATAAAGTTAAATTAGTATAAAATAAATTCTTTTATTTATATTTAGGCCACTAAGCTAGGAGAGATATTTCATACAATTTTATGTTAAATGTTGAATTGTTTAAAAGTCCTACATGATTATTTATTATTTTTTTATTTTTTTATTTTTTTGAGAATGTAATGTATTCTCCTTTTTTCATTTTAAGTAATTTATTGTTCAGGAGAATGTAAAGAAAATTGATGAATGAAAAGTTAAGGATAGCAAGGTACTGAAAAATACTAAAGAATTTATTATCCCAACAACTAAAGCAATAAGCAATTGTTGATATATTTTTTTGGGTTGTAATTCCTTTTTGCAAACAAGCTGCTGATGCAATAAAGTACTACCATATACACTACAGAATTTTGTGAGAGCCAACTGACATGACCGAATGAAATGACCACCATGATTCAGATTTTCAGTAGATATTAATAAACATTGCTTTCCCTCTGCCTAAATATTCTGGTCATGTTGTGAATCTCTTCTAATTTATACACACCTTGTATGTGAAAATCTGTCTGAATACATTTTTTTCTCTTTTAGCAATTTGTAAAGTTTTACGAATTTCTCTCTCCTTAAAGGCCAATGACTGGATAACTACCTTTCTGATGATGAAAGTAAATGTGGCATATATTTAGCAATGGCAATGCCAGTATATACTAACAAAAATCCTAAACACTTCCTAGTCCATGCAGTACATTAACTTCAGAAACTACAAATCAGCTACACACATTAAGTTAGAGTCATTTACTAGGGCGCAACTTGAAAAATCTAGAAATTGGGCCCAGTCATGTAGTCATTATTGTGTGTTTTTGTAACTCATACCTACAGAGCAATCTCTCTTATGTAAGGAGATGAATGGGAATAAAGACCTGTGTTGGTGGGCTTTGGGCTTGTGTTGATCGTGTCAGTTTCAGATGCTTTTGAGATCATTCAGATTTCTCTGACAGGTGCATGTGGTCTGCAGTTGACCACCTTGTGACTTAAACTGGCTATAGATGGGTTGAATCTTTGCCGGTTTAGCAGGGACTGGCCAAGATTCAAACCATGTATGATCGATCGATCAACTTAGATACAACCACCCTGTCTCATTTTAAATGTGATCATTGCAGTATGCACTGTGTTCTCCTGGTGGGGATGGCTGCCCCTGTCCTACCTCTGGCGAGAGCACAATGGGTCTATGGGAGGGATTCCCCCATCAACACTGTCTGTGTTGATAGGGGAATTGAACAATTTTCTTTCCTGCGACCCATGGTTGTAGGAAGAAAATCGCTCCATCTATGGCCGGATTTACACTTGCCTTTTTAAGATGGAATTTTCAATCCTGTAGACTTGTATGGAAATGCAAAAATCCTACTGATATGACAAAAAGCGAGTTGAGACGGGTCCTAAGAAAGTCATATCATGATTGTGCATCTTTCTGACTGCCATGGTCTTTATGAGGCCTATGAACATTATTTTCTGAATGACTGGATTGCAAAAAAAGTTATTGAAAAACTGTCCGTGCAATTAGAACACCAAATTTGGGCTCTATGTCCAAATGTTTTTTTTCTAGGTGATGGGAGTTTTACAAAGTATGTGAAAATGCCAATTTCATACAAAATTTCTTTTTGGGTCTAATATGTTGTATAAATGTAGATTTATGAAATCAACATTTTATCGTGCAATATGGGACACTGCTATATTCACTTTGAATGGACTGACAGCACACCTTAACCCTTGAAATGGACATGTCTGTTTTCAACACAATGTACCATAAGGTAGCCGTCTGTGTTTTGGTGCAGTACAGTGCAGGTGCATTACCTGCTACTGTAGAAGACTTTTGAATGGCACCACAAAGTAGGGTTTCCACTTCCACCCTTTAAAACCAAACACATATTATTTACACAGGTTCTGAGGCTAATTTAATGCAAGTAAGGCAATAAGTGAGTATAATTACCACCTCAATCAGCCACAGAACCCGTGTAATTA